ATTGATATTTTCATCAATATACAATTCCAATATGATAAACTAGACCTTGTTAACTGATCTTTTATTATGAGGCCGGTCTTTATCATATTGGAACCCTCAAAACAAAATATAAACAATCTTGTAATGAATTCCAATTGCTTTAATTTTTGACTGAGGAGTGAAGAGATAACCAGAACAACGGCAACGCCAAAGCGTAGCGAATCCCATCGAACAGAAATGGCTGGCTTTTTTACAAACGAAATATATAGCAAATATCATAAAACAACAAGCATAAGAAAGGCCACAATTTTCAAAATAGTTGCTCACTAGCCAAGTTGTCATTCAGAAAAAGTTATATGCTTTTAAGTAGCCACCTATAAAATTTTAAAAAAATCGCACACATGTACATGTAAATGGTCGCCATTTTTTAAAATGGCCACCTTCTACCCAAAATGTCATTAGACGCAATGCTTATGAGTATTCATATATCAAATATGAACAAAATCACTTTACTACTTTTTGAGTTATAATAAAAAATGTAAAATAACACACATAAAAATGGTGGCCATTTTTGAAAATGGCGACTACTCCCCAAAGTTTTATTAGACAATGTGCCATGCTTAAAGTATTCACATATAAAATATTAACAAAATCGCTCTACTACTTTTTGAGTTATAGTAAAAAATGTAGAATAACACATGTAAAAATGGCGGCCATTTTTCAAAATGGCTGCCTAGTACCCAAATGTCATTAGACATTGTGCTATGCTTAAAGTATTCACATACCAAATTTGAACAAAATCGCTCCACTACTTTTTGAGTTACAGTAAAAAATGTTAAATAACACACGTAAAAATGGTGGCCATTTTCAAAATGGCCGCCTACTACCCAAAATGTGATTAGACATTGTGCCATGCTTAAAATATTCACATACCAAATATGAACAAAATCGCTCCACTACTTTTCAAGTTACAGCAAAAGTCGTTAAATGACATGCAAAGGCAGCCATTTTACAAGATGGCTGCCATGTATTTCTTCTATATTTACATTTCTAGCTTAATCAATGTCCTATATAACTTTTTTACATTTAAAACATATCGCTATTACAGTTTTATATGCAGTACCTAAATTACTGTAAAATCGGCACTAAAATGGCCGCCATTTTTAAACGAGTGGCCATTTTGAAAATCGGCTTTCGAGCAGAACTTCTACTCCTATTGGGTATATGTGTACAAAATATGAACAAACTCGGGCCAATGGTATTTGAGTTATTGCTCGGACTGACGGACTGACGGACGGACGTACAGACGTACAGACGGACGGACGTACAGACGGACGGACGTACAGACGGACGGACAGTACGGACGTACGGAGGCGTTCCCTATATCCCTCCGAACTTCGTTCGATGGGATAATTAAATTTTAGAGGAGTGTGTGAAAAGTCTAGGACTCAATGCATTGTTGGATGTAATCCCACTCATGCATCGTTTCCTACTTTGCACTCATGCAAAGATCTGGAAACAACCCATTTATGGGTTTACAAGATAATTAATAATTCAGACATCTTCAACAATATATTGAGTCCTAGGCTACATGTACTTACCTTTTGTAACCAACATCTCCCCAGTCAATGTTCCACTCACGACTACAATCTCTTCTCCAAAAAGATTAATCTTAAAGATGTCACCAAATTTCTCCATCCATTCATGCATTTTTTGCATCATTATGAAGGTGCTCGTTAATTCGAAGGCATTTCCTGCTATGGGTATTCCACTTGGACCTGGGATGTGTGTCAGTCTACTGCGTGTTTTATTCCATATGAACCCAAAGAGAAGTACTACTGTTACTGCAACTAGTATCGCAAACATGATGTTACAGTCTGTTATAGTTCAGTTGCTATGAATATGGTCACTATGGTTGACTTCCCTATAAGTATAAAAAGTATACTCAGTGACATTATAGAACTACGATTTCAAAGTCATAGTGTATTGCAACATAGAAGTCAATAAGTATGTCAATATAGGAGGCCAAAGGTGACGGTTTAAGAAAACATTTTTGAAAAATTGCTATACCTGCACCACTGACCTCTTAAGCTTACCAGGATACTAAAAGAAGACAATGTAATGATACTTTCCTGAAGAGCGAGGAAATTCACAAATGCCTTCATACTTTATTTTTTACCAGAAAATAACATGTGAAGATATCGCAATATTTTCACAAAATGTTTTCATTCTACCTACCATCACCTTATACAAAAAAACATATTATGTGCCAGTCATGATCAAGTAGCATCTAGAGAGGGTTCTCCCTTAGGAGATATTAGTCCAGTTTTGACCCATGCAGTCCTAAGGTGAATATCCATATTGGGTTCTAAGGTAGAACCCTCCCTGCCTGCAACTTACCCCTCAGTCCCCCAATTGCACTCTCCTTGATTCTGATATTTGATCAAGTATTGATTTTCATATAGTTTTAGAATAGAATCAGTATGTGCACAGTATATGCACTACTATATAGTGCCAAGTTGGCATACAGCTGACTATGAATCAACTGTTGATTTAGTTTGCAAATAGTCTATTCATATCAACTTACCATTAACAGTGTGTAGGGTACCCTGCATTTGGTGTTCAAGAGGTCAATTTGGTCCTAAAAGGCCAATGCATAAAGCATAAATATAGATAAATGAGCTGCTTGACATGCAAGAAAACCCTTGCTACCATGTCCAAATGAAGCAAGCAACCCTTGCAAATACTGACAAATGAAGCAAACAACCCTTGCAAATAGTGACAAATGAAGCAAACAACCCTTGCAAATAGTGACAAATGAAGCAAGCAACCCTTGCAAATAGTGACAAATGAAGCAAGCAACCCTTGCAAATATTGACAAATGAAACAAGCCAACCCTTGCAAATATTGACAAATGAAACAAGCAACCCTTGCAAATAGTGACAAATGAAGCAAGCAACCCTTGCAAATATTGACAAATAAAACAAGCCAACCCTTGCAAATATTGACAAATGAAACAAGCAACCCTTGCAAATAGTGACAAAAGAAGCAAGCAACCCTTGGAAATATTGACAAATGAAATGAAACAACCCTTGCAAATATTGAAAAATGAAACAAGCAGCCCTTGCAAAAACTGACAAATGAAATGAAACAACCCTTGCAAATATTGAAAAATGAAACAAGCAACCCTCGCAAAAACTGACAAATGAAACAAGGGGTCAATCCTTAAATCTAAAGTCAGATTTGAAATTCTGAGAACTTGTAGATGAGATGATTTTGAAAAAGAAATTGATCAATTTGAAGCATGGGGTTTCACCTAGTTGAAAGTCCATGTTTGAGGCAAGTTGAAAAAATACCTTTTCGACCTTTTTTGAGAAGGTCATTGAAAGTCAAATCTCAAATTTTAGTCAGATTTGAACTTCTTAGAATGTGTAGATCAACAACCAACCACCACAACAAAAAGAACGGAGACCATAACAATATGTCACCACCTTTGAGGGTGGCATAAAAATGAAACAAGCAACCATTGTAACAAATTCCAAATGAAACAACCTTGAAATCACGGCAAAGGACCATTTTCAATATGGCTGGCCATTTCAAAATGGCCACCATTTTTGTAAAAAATGTAATCTCTGGTAACTTAAATAACAGTTGATGGATTTTGTTCAAATAATGCCTTAAGGTCATGAAACTTCTACTTAACAAGAAATTTATAACATGACGTCACTTAACATCATGTGTGTAGTAGTAATACTACTGTACTACTAGAACTTCCTTGTTATTTCTATCATGTTATGTTCAAAGTGATGGGTGATTTGATAAAGTATGTTTCATTCGGTGGAATTTGCTACCCTGGGGTCTATTTTTGGAATCTTCGAAACTTGCAATTTAGTCGCAAGTCATTATTCGTCAAAAACTAGAGAATGGTTTTCTGGGGATAGAAAGTTACGATCGTACCAAAAGTGAACCCCTGAAGAGGTGCTGTTCTTTATTTTACTTGCGACCAAATTGCAAGTCATTATTCGTCAAAAACTAGAGAATGGTTTTCTGGGGATAGAAAGTTACGATCATACCAAAAGTGAACCCCTGGAGAGGTGCTGTTTTTCTAGTTTCTAACATTTTTATTTTAGACCAAATATAAAAGCCTAAGATACAAAATACATAACAAAGTTCAGTTAAAGTGATATCATATTTGAAATCTACATGTAAAATTACATGTATAAATGCGGTTTCAAGAATTGTTTATCAACATTGAAAATTTAATTTTCTTTGAAAATGTGACTTCTTCATTGGGAGATTCCCCATAGACCCCATGTTATAAAATAACAAAAAGTGAAATATCTTTTCTTTTATTGATCAGATAATATTTTGTTTCACTGGATATATTTTCATTTGTAGAATTATCAGATAAATGTGAAATTTGATCCACTAAAACTGATGAATATTCAAGTTCAAGGGAACTTTCTATTATATCTGCCATGTTATTACCCAAATTAGCCACCTGGTGATGAAACTGGTAACTACCTACTGCCATTTGGTTTATTCCAACTGACCAATATAACATTGTAAAATGCATAATAGTCCAATGTATTGGTAATGTATTCATGTAATAATTTTGGTGCAATTTTTATTCAACTGTAGCAGCCACTTCTTAAAGCTGAATTTCATTCAACATTTTAGTAATAAAAATATAAATATGGTTGAATGTATTTCACAGGTCGTATCTGAATCTGAGACTCATTAAAGTAACTAAACTATGTACAACGTCCTGATTATACCACAATTTGGCAATATATGTATAGCAACGTAGGTGCTGTCAATGACTTGGATTTAAAGACATGCACGTAAATCTAATCAAAATTAGGTCATCTGTAATTTCCAATTTAAGAGTTGATATATCTTTGAAAATGTTTTAATCCAAATAAATTTTCAGACATGATCTGTTGGAATCAGTTTAGTCTAGCTACAAGCCCTCGTGCCCCCCCCCCTCCCCTACATACCTTCCCATGAGTGTGTGAGATGTGTGTAGTCACGTCAGGGGGGGGGGGGGGGCGTTGGGGGGTCACAGAGGCTTGTAGCTAGACTACAATCAGTTCAGAGAGAGCTCTGACTGGGCCACAGTGCCTAAATAGCAGCTGAGGTGTAACAAGGGCAAATAAGTCAATATCTGATAGACATCTAATGTACAATGGAATATTTTTAAGTCCTCATGTTAAGTGACTTTCTAGCCATTGCCAAAGCTCCGTCAAATGTCTCGTTTCCTCCGATGAATCCATTGGCATGTACAAAGATGCCTCCTGGGATTCCTGATTTTTCCGACAATTCATTATCCCTGAGTCCACACCATTCCTCTGGTAGTGGCAACCTGAAAGGAAGAATACATATGATTCTCTTTAAGGTGATCCCTGAGTTTATACAGGGTGTCAAAAAACAACGGCACCCCATTAAAGAGCCAAAATTTCCAAATTCTAGGGAAATGTGAGGAGAACAGATACTACATCCTTAAACTTAGAGTGAAATGGCCAAGAATAACATACAGAGATTGGAAGGGAGTCAGATACATGCATAAAAATTTATAAATTCCATAATCTATACCTGCTTTTGAAAGAGCCAAGGGCAGCAGGTGCACACTGTACCCTCCATTTTCCATTTTGGTCTGTAAAGAGGACATACTTTATGCTTGGAGTAATGTTCTGTTCTGCCTCTATGAGGAACAGGTGGTCTTTCCATGGGCAACCACCTTCTCCTAGGAGAAGAATCTCCCCACTAGGGTCAACCTGAAGTAAAATAGCAAAATTCAATATATGAGGAATATGAATTTGTGCAGACTGACTGTGGAACGATAATGGAAAAATAAAAATTCCTATTTAATTGATTTATCTAATAAAATGTTTTTAGTAAATTATAGAAATCACTTCACTAAATGGTGCTAGTTGACTGTGTTGGGATGATTCATGTTGATGGGTGAAATTAAAATGATATTTGAACTTTTAAATCTTAAATGTGATTTTTATTACTACAAATGTATTCCAGGGAATGACCTTTCATATTTCATTGGTAATGGTTACTAGCACTCTAACCTAACATGGAAGTGTTAAACAACATTAAGTTTAAAAAGTGATTGATAATGTTCAGGTTATGCAATTTTTGCATTATTCAATAGCCAAGGCCATTTCAGAAAGTACATATTGAGAATTTGAAATAAGAAATTAAAAGAATTTCTTGGATACTTGGCTTACGTGGTGAGGTGGTTTCCCTTAAACCAACAACAATTTTGGAACGAGCAGTTCATATGGTAATTTTTGGACTTATGGTTCATTCACGCAAAACTTACAACTTGCCAACATTTTTTCCTCAAAACCTCTTGATATATATTTGATAATCACATCTACCTCTTGGCGCTTGCTGAATGCTTCTACGACTAGTGTTCTAGCAGGCCACCAAGAGTTGGTGAAATAGTTCACTCTGTCTTTGAACTCTCCTCCTACCAGCTGCATTGCCTTCTCAAATTGGGCCTAATAAATAAACAAATAAATAATATAAATACATATGACTTATTAATTGTAATTTTTTATATGATGTCACAGTTACAGTGTTTTCCAAAACTTTTCAAATTACATTACAGAAACGATGGTTAGACGAATTATTTGTCCAAACAAGATAATTTTAATAAATGCAATTTTTGTCACATTCAAATTTCTGTTCTGCCAAGTTTTCAAATTGATACTTTAAGGTAGACCAAACAGAATGAGTATTCTGAACTTTTCCCATGCTTACTGAAATCTAATGACTTGAAAATTCTGCCACTAGCCCTACCTTAATAGCTTTTCTCTTACCTGTACATTTACGTTATTCTCATTCCAAGCTGGGTTGAGATTAGCGACTCTAGAGCTTAGGGTTGTAGTTATATGGTACCTAGATTCACCATCTGTCTGTGACACGCCATTATCCACAGCATCAATCTCTTCAACAAACTGTTCATATACCTTATCATATATTGTCTTTGTGATGTCATCATCAACTGTTTTTGCGATTAATTTTGCAATGATTCTTTCACCAAAATGGAGGTATACTAGACCTGCACTACTCAGTTTGGTTACCCATTTTTTCTCTGGTCGTAGACTGTGCATATTTTCACTGAATGTTCTGGAAATATGAAGAACATAATTGTAATCCACTACAATGTCAATGGTGTATGTTCTAAGAAGGTGTTTACTTCAAACAGAGGTGTTCACTAGGGACAGATCGTTTACTTCAAACAGAGGTGTTTACTCTCTCGGAGACAGGTATTTACTTCAAACAAAGGTGTTCACAAGAAACATGTGTTTACTTTAAACAGAGGTGTTCACAAGACACATGTGTTTACTTCAAACAGAGGTGTTCACTAGGGACACTTTAAACAGAGGTGTCCACTAGGGACAGATGTTTACTTCAAACAGAGGTGTTCACAAGAAACATGTGTTTACTTCAAACAGAGGTGTTCACTAGGGACACTTTAAACAAAGGTGTCCACTAGGGACAGATGTTTACTTCAAACAGAGGTGTTCACTAGGGACAGATGTTTACTTCAAACAGAGGTGTTCACTAGGGACAGATGTTTACTTCAAACAGAGGTGTTCACAAGAAACATGTGTTTACTTCAAACAGAGGTGTCCACTAGGGACAGATGTTTACTTCAAACATAGGTGTTCACTAGGGACAGATGTTTACTTCAAACAGACGTATTTATTGGGAAATGTGTTTACTTTAAACAGAGGTGTTTACTAGGGGCAGATGTTTACTTCAAACATAGGTCTTCATAGGGGACAGGTGTTTACATCAAACAGAGGTGTTCACTAGGGACAGATGTTTACTTTAAACAGAGGTGTTTACTAGGGGCAGATGTTTACTTCAAACATAGGTGTTCATTGGGGACAGCTGTTTACTTTAAAAAGAGATGTTTACTAGGGACAGGTATTAACTTCAAACATAGGTGTTCATTGGGGACAGCTGTTTACTTTAAATAGAGATGTTTACTAGGGACAGGTATTAACTTCAAACATAGGTGTTCATAGGGGACAGGTGTTTACTTGAAATAAAGGTGTTCACTATGGACAGGTGCTAACTTTAAACAGAGGTGTTCACTAGGGACAGATGTTTACTTTATATAGATGTGTTATATTCACAAATACAGGTTTTGGCACACTCTCACCTTTGGTGATGGTCATATCTGTGTTTCTCAGGATCAAATACTCCTCCAACATCTACAACTATATCACATGTATCTAGGGTCCCTGGATCACGTGTCCTGAAAAAGTTTGTTCAGATTAATATTTGATTGACTTTTGATTTGCTAGAGTTTATTCTAGAGGAAGTTGTTTCGAATGAACCTATAATGGAAATATTTCTCTTGGCTAGTAAAAAAAATTATTGGTTTAATATTGACACTGACATGATACAGGTATAAGTCATAACTTAAATGAAAAATATGTACATTTATTCAATCCAAAAGCTGTACCTTTCTAGAATAAGAGAGATTACATTGACATAAACTGAAATGTGACATTTATAGTAAGAAAAAAGAAAATACACAATATATAATCGAGGATGTGATTCGAGAATTATTTGATGAAGACTTTACCTAATTATTTCAGCGTCTGTATATTCTGGCAGCTGTTTTAGTAGGAAGCAGGCTAGTACCTCATCACAGTGAAATGTACCATTATGCGTCCCTATCTTCTTCATGGTGCACAGTTTCTTAGCAACAGGCTCTGAGCTCATCAGTCTGGCTATACCTTGAGTTATACCTGCAGTTAGAGTCACGTAAAGAAATATATTGATCCTGACTATTGTGTCTCAAGAAAGTTCATGGGCCTAACTCTGCCTTGCCCTTATACCAATCCAAGGATGTTTCAAAGGCATGCCATATATGTCCTCTCTCTGAAAACACAGGAAGTTGTACATATCAAGACCTTTTTGGACCTTTATGGGCTTTTGCCCCCCTCCACCTCTCAGAACAGATGAGTTCTGTTCTGAAATTGGGGAAAGAAAAAAGGGCCCCAAAAGGTCTTGAAACAACTTCCTGTGTCTAAAAACTGGGCTAAAACTGAGAGTGAGATGTAGACCATTGGAATGAGTAATACAGTTACATGTACGTGTAGCTGAAAATAACATGGGACTCCAATTAGGAAGAAAATCAAGTTACGGAGTTACCAAAAACTGGTTGAAGTAATCTGAACTGATTTTGAACAAATCAGAAATGTTCTGTTTTTTCTCAAGGAGGATTGGCTCCCAGAATGCAACACCGATATTCTGCAAAACAATCACCTAGCGATAGCTTTGTTGGAGAGTATCGGGTCATTCTCCATGCAGTCGTACAAATTATACAGACACGAATAGCAAATGACGCATGCGTGGAGATTAAAGAATATCGAGTTGGAACCCTGGCTTCCAATCCTCCTTGGTTTTTTCTCAACAATTCTGAGAAAAAGCTCTAGAAATGATATCATAAATCTACACTTATTCACCGTCAAATAGTGCAACGATTGGTATGAAATTCAATACAAATGTTGTTAGAAACCAGTTGAGTTGGAATATCAATATCATACAAAATGTTATTGGATGCTTATTGAATAAAACACATATTATTACCTGCAGAAAAAACCCTTGTCAAGGAACTCAGCATGTGTGAAAGGTCAAGGTCAGATTTACTTCCGGGTTCAGAAAATCAAAAAAATATTTAAGATATTGCCGTGTACTTCTTAAATGTCCACAAAGGGCCTTGATCTTTGTTTTGATGAGCTATCGCTAGAAGCGAAAGGTAGGTCAATGGTTGTCAAATGAAATATATAACTACAGGACCAGATAACAGTGATTTAATTAATATATAATCTATTATCGCCCAATATGTTTCATTAATTTTTTATCATGTGTATGATAGGCTATTGTAGTGCGGTCTATTGGAGGCCTGACAGTGGAATTCCTTTGTTTAATCTATTATTTGAAATATGCATGAATGAATGAATGTTTTCTCCATGGAGAATAAGTCTCACCTCCACCCACAGATATTGGCCAGATCGTTTTGTAGTAGGATCTCATAAGCTCAAAGAATACTTATTGAGCTACTGATCCTACTACAAAAGAATCTGGCCGGGATCTATGCCTCCACCCTATATTTTATACAATAGACATTGTAACCTCAGGAATCTCACCATGTGTCAAGTGTCAAAGTGTCACTGTAATCACAACAAATTACGGCACTTAGTCCATGTAAAACTTTTTTATACTAAGGTGGTGGGAAATTCTTGATGTTTTGTCCAGCATCAGACATTCCCATGGTAATAGTAATTCTTGTTGAATTTGAGATTTGCGCAATATTTGTGCTTCTTTTATTGCAGAGCTATACCTGGGAGATGAAGTGCAATATTTGGATAGAGCACCAAGTGCAATTGAGTTCCTTAGAAATTGGGTGTGCCCAAATAAACCAGTCATCATTAAGAATGCAATAGACCACTGGCCTGCTCTGCAGAGATGGGAACAGCATTCATACCTAAGGTAAGTACTGTATAAAGTTGATGCTGATTGGTAAGTGTACATGTACTTATGAACTTGTAGTGCAGCCATCCATTAAGGCTGTGCTCTTTTGGCCTCTAAATCTAAAAATTGGGCCCAAAATTTGAAAATTTAAGGTTCAGCTGGAAAGTAACATTTTGGTAAAAAATTGCTATACCTGCACATGTTATTTTCTGGTACAAAATTAAGTATGAAGGCATGTGTGTATTTCCTTGCTTTTTTCAGGAAAGTATCATTACACTGTCTACTTTTAGTAAACCTGGAAACAGGTCAATGGTAGCACCTGTGTTGTCCGGAAACTTTGAAAGAAAATTTGGAAAAAAAGAAAGTGTGAAATATCAGAATTTCCTGGAGTTCCCATTGAACTCCTACTAGATATTCTTAAAGAAGACAATGTAATGATACTTTCCTGAAAAAAGCAAGGAAATTGACACATGCCTTCATACTTTATTTTGTACCAGAAAATAACATGTGCTGGTATAGCAATTTTTTACCAAAATGTTACTTTCCAGCTGTACCTTAAGGTCAGGGTGCATGATGGGAAATTTTCTGCATTCCACAATTGAGTCACATGTTATTTTTCAAACAAGAATCACTCCTTCCCTTCATTGTCTATACCTTCCAGTTTTGCACAAAGAGTGCACTTATGTGCCTAGAAAAGACTTGATAAAGTGTATAAAAAACAAGAAAATTCAGTGAAAAAAATCAGAAAATTTTCAAAAAAAATTTTCACTGAATTTTCTCATTTTTTATACATTTTCCAAAATAAACCTTCTCACAAGGCTTTTCTAGGCACAGAAGTGCACTCTTTGTGAAAACTTGGAAGATGTAGACAATGTGGGGAAGGAGTTATTCATGTTTGAAAAATAACATGTGACTCAATTGAGGAATGCAGAAAATTTCCCAACATGCACCCTGTCCTTAAGGCCCATTTTTTCACAATTTGGCCTAAAGAGGCCCAAAAAGGCATAGTAATGCCCAAAAAGGCCCACTAATTGAGGCCCTACAAAATGTTTGGGTCCAAAATGTTTTTTCTGCCCCCCCCCCCCCCCCCCTCCCTGGTTCAGCCAGTGCATAATATGTAATGATTTCTGTCAAGGCAGTAGGTGATGCTGCAATAAGTAGCAAAAGCATCTTAGCCAGGAATGGTTTTAAGTCCAAACTAGTATCATCAAAAGGCAAAATCTCTCTAAAAAGCTTAAGCGTTACATACAGCTTTATCAAGCTTCTGACTTTCCTCATAGAATCTTTAGAATTATTTAGATTAAAGTGATTGTGAGTGTGGGCACTGACCATTCATGTACTATGTTTCAGGGATAAGATCGGGAACAAAGAAGTGACAGTTACTGCAACTCCAAATGGTTATGCAGATGCTGTACATCAGAATAAATTCATAATGCCAGAAGAAAAGACAATGACTATGAACTCATTCCTTGATATCATGGAAACACCTGAGAATTACAATGGAGTGTATTATGTGCAAAAACAAAACTCTAACTTTACTGCCGAGTTTTCGGAAATAATAGATGATGCAGAAAAAGAAATTCCTTGGGCTAGTGAAGCTTTGGGTACGTGGGTATAATTTAAATGAGTTAAATACATTTAAAATCTTCATGATTGTGTACTGATCACCATTAAAGCAATCTAGATCTTGCAAATTATTTCTTGAAGTTACTGCTAGTCAGTGTTACAAATTATTTATGTTGAAGATTTGCTTGTCTGTTGTTTTCAAAGATAAAGTGTTTATTAAACTGCAATTAGAATTAAATGTTTATACTGGGTGATATAATACATCCTCGTTATACATCCAACATTAAACTATGTAAACACTAACATAGCACTCCAGGTGTATCATTCTATGCAATATCTGTTGTTATATGTTCAAGGCAAATGCCCAGATGCTGTTAACTTCTGGATGGGCGATGGTAGAGCAGTGACATCTATGCACAAGGATCATTATGAGAATCTCTACTGTGTTGTATCGGGGCAGAAACATTTTATCCTCCACCCACCCACTGATCTGCCATTCATACCATATGGTAAGTTTGCACTCAGGTTGTATCTATATGCCCCTCTCCATCTCTACCCAGGTCTGTCTTGCTATAACAAAATACATTGTAGCAAAAGACATTGTATCAACGAATTTTGCATACTTCTACCCTGTATGGCTCACCATGACGTGCTTACATGTTTTACATCCCCCTCCCTTCTTCCATGGAAATGGGAATCTGCAAACGCAGTATTGGGGAAACCTTGGTGCAAGGGTAGGAATGGTTTTGAATAGGCTTCAAGAAAATCATGTTATCTTTGTTGTTCAAAGACTCCAAAGTCTGAGTAAATATAATTCATATTTCCAGGATTTCAATTTATCTACTCAACTTAATTAACAGGCATCCAGAGATTACCGAATCTTCATTTTAAGAACCCCTGATTGCAGAATACGACAAACCACTTCAAAACAAGGCATTAACATACAAAATGTCACCACCTGCCATTTGTAACAGATGCCAACTGCCAACCGCTGACTGCCAAACACCAACCACAAAAAAGTTGTAGACTGTAACAGTATGTCACCACTTATGATGGTGACAATAATCGCAGAAGGCATGTAACGAGAAATATATTTTCAGGTAACTACTCCGCAGCTGCATACAAAGAAACAACATCAGGACAATTTAACATCATAGATCAACCAGACATTGGAACAGTCCCTTGGATATCTATAGACCCTTTAAAGCCAGACTTAGAGAAATACCCCCAGTATGCCAAATCACAAGCTTTACATGTGACACTCAATGCTGGTGAGATGCTGTATTTGCCTAGTTTATGGTTCCATCATGTACAACAGTCGCATGCTTGTATTGCTGTCAACTTCTGGTACGATATGGAGTATGATATAAAATATAATTATTTCAAATTTGTCGAGAATTTGCTTGTAAAGTGTAAGAATAAATAAATGATTTTTAAAAAATATATTTTTTAAATTTATCTTAGAAAGGAATGTTGAGTGTGAGTTAATCCAGTGTCAGAGTCTTGTCTAAGGATATTGCCATTATTATCCCACCGAACGAAGTTCGAGGGGGATATACTAAGTAGAAAAGCCGTTCGTCTGTCCGTCCGTTCCGTTCGTGTGTCCGGGCGTTGTGGGATTTGCTACTCCGTGGAGTTGCTGTTTTTCTAGTTTCTTTTTAGCTCACATAGGTGAGCTATTTTACTGAGATGCATCCCTAATAACTGTACATTACCAATGGTGCAGTTTTATAGCCTGTAAATGGGACTGACATTTTGAATCATTTCTTCTGTTATTCACGTGGCCGCATGCATTGTTCTGTGGTATATGCATTGTTGGGATATTAATGCATGGCCCATCAATCCCAGTAACATATCTGCAAATGGATTACTTCGTGGAATCCATATGTTTCCATTTACACAAAACCATAGTCTTGCTTAAAAGACCCTGTACCCCCCCCCCCCCTTTATCCTTCTCTCTGTATATTGCCAGGTAAAGAGAGTGAAGGTGACGGGGGGGGGGTGGATACAGTCTTTGAGCAAGACTAACAAAACCGCATAATAAAAACAGCAAAATCAACAATAATACAGATTTACTTCACATAAATTTATTAAGCTCAACAAATAACATGTTCATGTTTATACTGTAAATAACACAACACATATTTCATTGACAGGTCTTAATTAATATAATTAATCACCCGTAGCATGGAATTCATTTCATATTTATCACACATTAGCAGTTTTTCAATGTTTCTCAGCTTGGATCAAAATTAGTATTTTATTAATTTCAATTATAAGATTAAGAAATATGACATAACATCAAACATATCATGATTTTCCATAATTCTTTATGACTGCAAATGCACTTTCAAATGCAATGTAATTTTCAAATGCAATGTAATTTTCAAATACAATGTAATTTTCAAATTCAATGTAATTTTCAATTGCGATGTAGTTTTCAAATACAATATAATTTTCAAATACAATGTAATTTTAATATACAATGTAATTTTCAAATACAATGTAATTTTCAAATACAATGTAATTTTCAATTGCGATGTAATTTTCAAATACAATATAATTTTCAAATACAATGTAATTTTAATATACAATGTAATTTTCAATTGCGATGTAATTTTAATATACAATGTAATTTTCAAATACAATGTAATTTTCAAATACAATGTAATTTTCAAATACAATGTAATTTTCAATTGCGATGTAATTTTCAAATACAATATAATTTTCAAATACAATGTAATTTTCAAATACAATGTAATTTTCAATTGTGATGTAATTTTCAAATACAATATAATATTCAAATTAAATACAATATAATTTTCAAATACAATGTAATTTTAATATACAATGTAATTTTCAAATACAATGTAATTTTCAAATACAATATAATTTTCAAATACAATGTAATTTTAATATACAATGTAATTTTCAAATACAATGTAATTTTCAAATTCTCAAGTGGATGCAAGTAGATTTTTATCAAGGTACAATGTAACTGATGAACCCTAATATACCCTGGGTATATTATATTTTCAACTGGGTGAATTAACACGGTGGATGATAATTTTTAAACTCTAAACTGAATGATTCTCTCGGTTACTTCAATGCTGGAAAGATTACTGCCTTACAAATTCTTATGAAGAACATTCTCATTTACATGAAATGGCAAAATAAAAGTTAATGTCAGACAAGTACAGAAGGTTTAATATGGGCAGAATGAGACTTAGGGGTCTATCTGTGCATGGCATCAACATGTACATGTAACTCTATGTAATTATAGGGTCGATTCTAATAATTCAGTATATATGTACGTACATTACATACCGTACATGTACATTAATAAAGAAGCATTAGTTAATGGATAATGGATATGCATATTAATATGTTAATTGTACATGTATTACAGCAGCTTATAAATGTAAAGTTCCAATAAATATAAAGAGTACATACATAGGATTAATTCTGAACTCAATAACTGTATCTAATGAAGTACACACTTTATGTAATTAAAAAATATTTAACAATCGTTTCTGTATCGATTTTCATCTAACATTAATTTGTACTCAATGGTAATTAAAATAACAATCAACAATTTCTGGATTTCTATTAATCAAAAACTCCAGCTTTATTTTTGGACCAATTTTGATGTTTTGCCCCTTCTAAACCTATTCATTTCATTGAGAATGATCATTTAATTTTCCAGCTTATGTACATATTCTTATTAATTTCTCTAAATGGAAAGAATGGTTGCTAACATTATATTATGATGAAAAACATTTTTGTTACTTTTATAGGCCTGTTATTTTTCAATTACAAAATTGCGAACCATGAATGTGGTTTGAAAATTTTCAGTAAAATTATTTCTGTTCAGAAAAAGGTGTTTGTATATGCTACTTTTTCATTGATTTCCTATCTTCCATATAATATTATTCTATTATTTATAGGCTTGTGCATAACCAATGGAAATAATTACTGTATTTCAATGTATGTGTAAACTATTTTTCTCATACAGTATATCTAGAAAGTCAATACGCATTTGATGTCAAAATGATATTGTATTCAAAATTTCCCTGAAATTGTCAAGCTATTAAACATTCAGTTTGGGTCATCACAGGGCCTACCTATTCGAATTGCAACAAGGCTTTAACGTACAAATTTTCACCACCTGCCATTTGCTGCCAAACACCAAATGGTGTTACAGATGCCGATTGCTGAACACTGTCCACAAATAAGTTCGAGACTATGACAATATGTCACCACTTCTAGATTTATTGTGGAACACCTTTGGACTATAGTGTGTTCCACTTAGAGAGGTGTTATTTACAGAAGCCCATTAACATGAAGCCAATCAATATTCTTTTTCACTTGTGAGATGTCCCACCTGACAGTTTTTACTATACAGTAAATGTGATTTTATATAATAGGCCTAGCAGTTGACCAATATCCACACCACAGCAATACAGTATACATAGAGACATCAATGATCTGATACAGTCCATTGAGACATAAAAAAACATTAAATAAGGCAAACGGACAGAAAAACAGACAGAACACATTGTAGTACATTAATATTGTACTACACAGAGTTAATGTAAACAATAAAATATCCTCTTTACGCTTGGTTTTTGGTTGGACCATAAATCACCAATGTAAAAACTCGCATAAGTGCATGGTTTCTCATATTACAATTTACAATGCATTAAATGATTGTATATATTGCTACTTCTGTTTATATAAATGTTTCATAAATAGCCAAGCCTGCTGCTTATGAGGCCACAAAAAAACTGGTTTGTGATCACCTTTTCTTGCTCTACAATAAATTGTTCTTCAGCATGACAGAATACACTGCCACAATCCTATGACAAAATAAACAATGACATTGACAACCATATTCCTATGACAACATGTATCTGTCACCTTTGACAGTATAAACATGTTACTGGTGGCTGTGACATTATAAATATGTCATATATGACAATATAAATCTATTAAATATGACAGTATAAATATGTATAACTACATCAATTGAGGTAGAAACATATTTGAGTCATATTATTACATATGTTACTTTTCTAATAAGTAATAATAGTAAAGTTTTGTATTCATCGATTTTTAAATTAGCATTACACTAACAACAAATATCTCTACTACAGTTTCCCTACATAATTGCAATTCGTTTTCTCAGCATTTGTACCTTCTAAAATACATTTTTAAATTATTTTGTTTACACGTTTGCACTTTTTACATGTTAGCATTTGATCCCTTATATTACTTTTATACACATAATATTAGCATCCAAGTTTCCTAGTAAGCTAAGTTCATGTGAACACATCAGGAAGGTGGTTTTTTCTGGCTATTATCTTGTGCTTTTCTATCATGTAAATGTTTTTGAAATTGTTTAAAATATAGTTGTGATACTTTTCCACAATTGGTTCCTCTGGATGTTGGTTCCATCAAAAGCGCATTTGCTTTGTCTACTAAGTCAGATTTCAAGTCACCATCAAATGTGTACTGAAAAAACGAAATTACAAAATAAATAATCACCATCAAATGTGTACTGAAAAAACGAAAATGACAAAATAAATAATCACCATCAAATGTGTACTGAAAAAACACGAAAATTACAAAATAAATAATCACCATCAAATGTGTACTGAAAAACCGAAAATTACAAAATAAATAATCACCATCAAATGTGTACTGAAAAAACACGAAAATGACAAAATAAATAATCACCATCAAATGTGTACTGAAAAACCGAAAATGACAAAATAAATAATCACCATCAAATGTGTACTGAAAAAACACGAAAATGACAAAATAAATAATCACCATCAAATGTGTACTGAAAAAACGAAAATGACAAAATAAATAATCACTATCAAATGTGTACTGAAAAACCGAAAATGACAAAATAAATAATCACCATCAAATGTGTACTGAAAAAACACGAAAATTACAAAATAAATAATCACCATCAAATGTGTACTGAAAAAACACGAAAATTACAAAATAAATAATCACTATCAAATGTGTACTGAAAAACCGAAAATGACAAAATAAATAATCACCATCAAATGTGTACTGAAAAAACACGAAAATTACAAAATAAATAATCACCATCAAATGTGTACTGAAAAAACGAAAATTACAAAATAAATAATCACTATCAAATGTGTACTGAAAAAACGAGAATTACAAAATAAATAATCACCATCAAATGTGTACTGAAAAAACACGAAAATTACAAAATAAATAATCACCATCAAATGTGCACTGAAAAAACAAAAATTACAAAATAAATAATCACCATCAAATGTGTACTGAAAAAACGAAAATTACAAAATAAATAATCACTATCAAATGTGTACTGAAAAACCGAAAATTACAAAATAAATAATCACCATCAAATGTGTACTGAAAAAACACGAAAATTACAAAATAAATAATCACCATCAAATGTGTACTGGAAAAAACACGAAAATTACAAAATAAATAACTCTATTAATAAAGTATTACAGTTAAGTTAACTGTTATGATTTTATGTTGTACTATCATTTGCTTCATCCTGTTGTATTAGATAACACTTATGATAAAACAATAATTTATCAAGAATATTTAACCCCTCTCTGTCAATATTATTTTCAACATTTATCATACTGTATGAAGTGAAAATAGAAATAAAACTGAATTATAATGCAGCAATGACACTAAAACAATATCCTAAGTATAACTTTAGCGGTAAAACTGCATTATGATTTTTTATTGATTTTTTTTATTTCAGTATAGAGATATTACATTAAGATTGGATTTGTTTACAATTGTACATGTTTATATGAGTTTTTGAAAAAAAATTCAAATTTCTTGGCATTGTTAATGCAACATATATTTGTTAGATCAACATTACCCTAGTCTTGTTCAACACTGGTACATTCATATAATAATATACAATGTTTTGTAACTGCAAATTCTACATTGAGGGACACCAATTATGCCATTGGTGATTGGGTCCCTCATGTGTTATCTGTACCCGCATGAATCATTACCCTTTCCATTCTTTGCTTCTCTCTCAAGAGAGCTTCGTCTTCACTCTTTCAGTTTTCAATAAATCGCTGAACTCACTGAGCTAATCAGAGTTTGTCTATATAATATATGGACAACTTTCTATATATTTTCTCTGAAGTAATTGCATAATTGCACCCATGCATTTAACACATGTTCCTTCCAGCTCGCTGATTGTTTGAGAAAAGGTCAGCACAGTAGGTTTGAAATGATTTATGACCCAAACTGTTAAGGGCATTGGGCGTGGGGGCAGGGCTCTTAAACTGTAATAGTCTGTACTAGGCAGAGGGTAGTTTATAACAAGACTGTGGGCAGGGTATTGAATCATGGGATTTCTCTTAAAAGCCCATGCATAAATAAATGGCAATAAAATCTGCTGTCCCCTCCCTTGTTAAAAAATTGCATCATGGGAAGGTTCCTCACCTGTTTCATAGCGGTGTACACTGCTTTAAATGCTGGTTGTTTCTCATTATGGTAGACACCTCTGCTCCCATGAAGCACAGAGACCCCATCCATCTCAGCTAGCTTACATACACTCATGTACATACAGTGGTCAGGCCTGTAGTTCCACTGACAGGGATAGATGTATAGTTTTTCTATAAAGTAAAGACATATGTTATTGCACATTTTAAAGTAGCCCGGACAGAATATGTTCAAGGGTCACTTTTTCTTTAATAACATTTTTAATTTCAGTATTATCAAAATCTGATTACATATTTGAAAACTAGAGTAAAATTCTGACATACGAAAAAATTATTTAAGGAACATCTTTTAATCTATTGATATTATCGGCGTTCATAGTATGAGAGATGCAAATACATAATTCATCATTTTGCCTCATATTTGTTCAAAATGTCAGCACATTTAGTGAATTTGAATGTTCAGTTGAAAGTTAATATTTATAGATTGTCGTATTGTTCTTTACATGTTTTAAAATCAATACATTATAATGATCTAAAACCTACTCAATGGTGGGTCTATCAAGATGAGGTCAAGGGACCTCTAATAAGCAATATAAAGTAAAAGTTCTAAAAATGCCTCAGTAATTCAGGGATCTCTGACAGACCCAACCCCCTCCCCCTCTCCCCAAAGTACAAATGGGGTAGTTTGTTCTTCTAAATTGAGAATATTCTGAAGCAATTTTAAGTAAATTGATCCAGTACATCATACATTTTAAAATACATGATATATCTCTGAATATTGTTCAAATACACGTCCCCAGTCTTATGTCTACAGAAGTTCATATGTTTGATATTCATAGTTTATGTTTATACTTTATGTTGACAGTTTATGTTCCCTTATTATATCATAACAATGCCAGGAATTATTGACTGAGTTGCAATAAAGTAAATAGTAATTATCAAACCTCTACAGAATTGATATCAAGAAAGCATAGTGTATTACACTTGTTACACAAAATGTATAAAGTGTGGAGGGGGTAATTATGATTCTGACCATCTTAAACACAAATGACCCTTTATATTATCTTGGCTCCAATCAGGGATCTAATTCACTAGTCTTAAAAATGGTCTGAGTGTAACATGATCTTGGTATTAGTATAAAATGGCTTTAGAATAACATGATCTTAGTTTAATATAATCCAAGTAAACAATGATTGTATTTTACCTGGATGATAATGGAAAAATATATTTATGAGATCTTGGTCACCCCATGTTATCTTCAACTTGTACTGTTTATAGTATGGGAGTATGTAGTCCTGCCAGTTTACAATCCTCATGCGAGTTAGGTTCATCAACATTACACCAGAGTTAACACCTAGAAGCAAACAGTATAATAAACAATCCCAGACAAATCTATTTAAAAAATATTAAGATCTTTATGTTTTTATGACTGGATTTCATCACAAAGCTGGTGATGAAAATCTTACAAACAGAGGGAAACTGTTGAAAAATCATGATTGAGACAGTGTTTGCAAAATAATTTATTAAACACTAAGTCAATAACGTATTGATTATTCAAGCTTAAAACAAAATAAAACAATTATCTAGTGTGCTTCTTTCCAATTATCTAATATAGTAAATTTCCCTTATATCCATCTAATGATTTTTTAAAGAAAACATCCAATGTGTATTAATTGCAGAGAAATAACCCAAAACATATCATCTCAATCTTTACCTAACTTTCCATAGAATGGATGTCTAGCGAACCTATTGTACCACCCTGTGGCCGCATCCTCACTCTCTGGGGCCAGGGCGGCTATCTGACTAGAGTTGAACTTGCCGAAGAATGCCCAGATGTCATCCAGGGGCCTCATAAACAAGATGTCTGTGTCCACATATAGAATGGAGTCAACATTTGCCAGGATATTCTGAAAGTAAATAGTTTATTACTGTGTTGGTTTTTCCTTTATAAGGTTTATCATAGTCTTTCATATATGATGTCCATTAGGGTGTTGTGTGCCTTTTGTGGTGTTTAATATGGTGTTAAGGGCAATATTTTGATTTGAGGTTTACCAAAGGTGGCAACCAATTACCAGTAATTGAAATACATTTTCATCAACTTCAAAGTGAAAAAAATTCACTTGTCAAACAATATCACATCAAGATAAGCATAGTGTGTACAGTACTGTAATTATGAGATACATTGATGGACATCATTGTAATGAATGAAATGAATATAATCATAAAATCATAAAAAAGATGTGAATTATTTGAAACCACTTTTCACTTCCTTAGCTATAATCTATAACCATACGGTAACGACAGTGACTTGTAGAATTTTTCTTTCTGTAATTTTTACCCATAGGGGTGGTCTAGGCTGTAAAAGAGGGGGGAAGAGAGAGGTTCAAAGAAGAGATATGTCTAATATGTAAATCTGTACTGAAACGACAGCGTCGCTGATTAGCCAAATCAACAGAATAATGACGGCATTCAATGGCGGTTTTAAAATTTTCTTAAGCTCTAGGGTTTTCCCTCCTCTTGGGCTATAATGTGTTTTTCTAACTTTGCCTCTTGTGCCTCTTCATTTTAGCAGTGCTGTCAGCTAAATTACAGGTTTAACAGCTGACGATCAAGGGTACATTCATATTCCTCTTTAAATGCACCATCCCTCCAACTCAGAGCTCAAATCACCCAAATATTTTTAAAATTCATAAAGCCAGAAATTTGCACTATAAACCCATAGTTAAAGGCAGTAGCAAAAATGTTTTGGATGAGACATCCAGGCCTTCTTTCTTAAAATTGTAATTTTGTAGTTAGATTTACATGAATAAAAATGATATTATTAGAGAAATACATGATTTTCCTTGTCTATAAAAGAATTTCACAGTATTAATTAAAATTTCCCAGCTCACTTTTTTTCTTGTTTTCTTGCCTTTAACACATAACAATCTTCAGACAAGAAACAAGATTATTTCCAAGCCTAAAGCTACAACTCCACTTTTTCTAGTACATACATGTAATTCTTCAGAGTGTGATAAATAGCATGCCTGCCCTGGGATGTGTATTCAGGCTGAGTGCCTCTAAATTAAAGGCTTTTACAATGCATTATAAACCAACCAGATACTGAATTTTTCTTTGTTGTTGCGATACTGCTCATATAGAAGTGAGTTACACAATCAGATGTGCTCATCTTGACCCCAACATGCAATAAAAAAAATGTTCTGTCAACACTGGCATAGTTTATTTTTACACCTCAGATATTTAATCTGACTGTTATTTTACTCAGTTGAGTCACGAATGAGCCTTTAAGTGAAGTACTTGATAAAGAAAAGTGCCAAAAGCAGTTGTTTTATCAACAAAATGTGAAACTCTTGAATGAATTAATAGTCCATCTATTTACTGCTGAAACAATGGTCTTTTATTTCTGAGGCCACAGATCAATTACAAAAATAGCTTAGGGGGTCAGGTCAAAAAGGTTCTAAATTCCTCAAACATTTCCTCATACTTTGTCTTTCAATACAAGTTTAGCAACTATTTATTGATTGCTCCTCATGGTAAGCATATGCATGAAATATTTATCAACATCAATATAAAATAGTTCCATATACTATCTTCTTAAAAGATTTGCATTATAAAATATTAACTTAAAGGCAAAAAATAAAACACCAGTCTGTTAAATATGAAATGTCACTGTTAACTCAAATTCTTTCCTGCCTGTCTGAAGAATGTTATGTTATACCTTAGAGGAATTTAGGGAAACATTAAAATTATTAAGCTTTTAACTGAGTAAATGTGATTCTCTGAAGGGGGGGGGGGGGGGGCGAGGGGGAGGGGAGTGATGAAAACTGGCTGACATTAAGAATCTTATGTTTTTAAGTTTTTAAAATGACAATCAAATACAAAAGTGGATGCTACAAGGCCAAATATGCCAATACATCTATCTTAATATTATCTTAAAATCATAAGTATGATGAAATAAAAACCATTTCAAAACTTCTGAACACCCCACCCTCGATAGTATATTTAATATTCTTCTGAGAATAAATCTATAAATGGTATAGCTGAGTAGGTGCTTATGTAGATCAAAATGTAAACCTTGCAAAACCGTGGTCGTTGAAAAAGTTTCTGGTTGAATCTAATTCTTTTTAGTCACATTGTATAAAATCTTTGTGAATTGTGGGTGATTTAATGCACTCATGTCTTGTGTGCTAGCGCCCTCGTTCAAAGTCTTAAACAAGACCATCGTGCTTAAAGTGATCCATAATTCATTGAATCCTGAGCATAACAATACAGCTTCCATGAACGTTAAACATTTTGAATATATCTCTTTTTCAATGAATTTAGGAATGTCTAAGGTTATTGTTCTTTTTATTTATTCATTTAGTAAATCAAGATTTTCGAGATTGGTAACAAAAAAAGATTTTTTTGAGAAAATATCCTTATACTTACTGGTAAAAACAACCTCTGAGAGGCACATGGTTTGAACAGCTTCTTCCATTCTTCAGCGTTCTCACCATCAGGGAATGTAATTGGATAAATACTGTATGCAGTTCTTTCCTTGACTCCATCTGGCCATGCATCAAGCTGAAAATATAAAGTCATAAATGCATTGTATATGTATAATACTTTAATTCCCTGGAAATGTAATAGGATGAATACTGCACATAGTTCTTTCCTTGACTCCATCTGGCCATGCATCAAGCTGTAAAATATAAAGTCATAAATGCATTGTATTATGTATAATACTTTAATTCCCTGGAAATGTAATAGGATAAATACTGTACGTAGTTCTTTCCTTGACTCCATCTGGCCATGCATCAAGCTGTAAAATATAAAGTCATAAATGCATTGTATATGTATAATACTTTAATTCCCTGGAAATGTTATAGGATGAATACTGTACGCAGTTCTTTCCTTGACTCCATCTGGCCATGAATCAAGCTGTAAATATATGAATAATACTTTAACTCCCTGGAAATGTAATAGGATGAATACTGCACATAGTTCTTTCCTTAACTCCATCTGGCCATGCATCAAGCTGTAAAATATAAAGTCATAAATGCATTGTATTATGTATAATACTTTAACTCCCTAAAAATGTAATAGGATAAATACTGTACGCAGTCCTTTCCTTGACTCCATCTGGCCATGCATCAAGCTGTAAAATATAAAGTCATAAATGCATTGTATATGTATAATAGTTTAATTCCCTGGAAATGTAATAGGATAAATACTGTACGCAGTTCTTTCCTTGACTCCATCTGGCCATGCATCAAGCTGTAAAATATAAAGTCATAAATGCATTGTATATGTATAATAGTTTAATTCCCTGGAAATGTAATAGGATAAATACTGTACACAGTTCTTTCCTTGACTCCATCTGGCCATGCATCAAGCTGTAAAATATAAAGTCATAAATGCATTGTATATGTATAATACTTTAACTCCCTGGAAATGTAATAGGATAAATACTGCACATAGTTCTTTCCTTAACTCCATCTGGCCATGCATCAAGCTGTAAAATATAAAGTCATAAATGCATTATATATGAATAATACGTTAACTCCCTGAAAAATGTAATAGGATAAATACTGCAAATAGTTCTTTCCTTAACTCCATCTGGCCATGCATCAAGCTGTAAAATATAAAGTCATAAATGCATTGCATATAATGAATAATACTTTAATTCCCTGAAAATGTAATAGGATAAATACTGCACATAGTTCTTTCCTTAACTCCATCTAGCCATGCATCAAGCTGTAAAATAAAAAGTCATAAATGCATTGCATATGAATAATACTTTAATTCCCTGGAAATGTAATAGGATGAATACTGCACATAGTTCTTTCCTTAACTCCATCTAGCCATGCATGTAAGCTGTAAAATATAAAGTCATAAATGCATTGTATATGAATAATACTTTAATTCCCTGGAAATGTAATAGGATGAATACTGCACATAGTTCTTTCCTTAACTCCATCTGGCCATGCATCAAGCTGTAAAATAAAAAGTCATAAATGCATTGTATTATGTATAATACTTTAACTCCCTGAAAATGTAATAGGATAAATACTGCAAATAGTTCTTTCCTTAACTCCATCTGGCCATGCATCAAGCTGTAAAATATAAAGTCATAAATGCATTGCATATGAATAATACTTTAATTCCCTGGAAATGTAATAGGATGAATACTGCACATAGTTCTTTCCTTAACTCCATCTAGCCATGCATCAAGCTGTAAAATAAAAAGTCATAAATGCATTGCATATGAATAATACTTTAATTCCCTGGAAATGTAATAGGATGAATACTGCACATAGTTCTTTCCTTAACTCCATCTAGCCATGCATCAAGCTGTAAAATATAAAGTCATAAATGCATTGTATATGAATAATACTTTAATTCCCTGGAAATGTAATAGGATGAATACTGCACATAGTTCTTTCCTTAACTCCATCTGGCCATGCATCAAGCTGTAAAATAAAAAGTCATAAATGCATTGTATTATGTATAATACTTTAACTCCCTGAAAATGTAATAGGATAAATACTGCACATAGTTCTTTCCTTGACTCCATCCAGCCATGCATCAAGCTGTAAAATATAAAGTCATAAATGCATTCCATATGAATAATACTTTAATTCCCTGGAAATGTAATAGGATGAATACTGCACATAGTTCTTTCCTTAACTCCATCTAGCCATGCATCAAGCTGTAAAATAAAAAGTCATAAATGCATTGCATATGAATAATACTTTAACTCCCTGAAAATGTAATAGGATAAATACTGCACAAAGTTCTTTCCTTAACTCCATCTGGCCATACATCAAGCTGTAAAATATAAAGTCATAAATACATATAATACTTTAATTCCTAAAAATGTAACAAGACAAACACTGCATGTGTATGCCTTGTAGGTATGATACTTTAATTCCTAGAACTAATAACAGGATAAATAATGTATTAGGCCATCAGCTTCACCCCAAAATTTAGGTTATCGGTATCAAATCAGGGGAATAATTGCCATAGTGATTTTTGGGAAGGTTAAGACATCTAGAGTAAGAAACTATGTGATAGCATTGCAACAGTTGTAGCTAAATGGGTGTTATCACCCATTTTTCAAAATGGCCGCCAGTGCACATGTTACAATATAAGAGTGGGTATATCTAAGCACACTGAGATGGAAAAACTGTGATTTTAGGACCTTTATTACGGTTTTAGGGGTCAAGGATTTCATTCATGCTGAAATCTAAGTCATCAAGCAATTACTTCTTATAGAAATCCAAGATGGCCACCAAAATGGGTGCCAAAACGAATACCGTTATGTAACCATTGATTTAAGCTCAAAGAACAGTTAAGAACAGTGATTTTAGAGATCATGTCACAGTTCTCAAGTCAAGGATCTCATATATGTCTAAATCGGAGTCATCAAATAATTACCTTTTCATAGAAATACAATATGGCCACCAAAATGGATGCCAAAACGAATACCGGAATGTAACCATTGATCTAAGCTGGAAGGAGAGTTAAGAACAGTGATTTTGGAGATCATGTCACAGTTCTAGAGTCGAGGATTTCATTTATGTCTAAATTGGAGTCATCAAATAATTACCTTTTCATATAAATACAAGATGGTCGCCAAAATGGGTGCCAAAATGAATATGTAACTATTGATTTAAGCTAAAAGAACAGTTAAGAACAGTAATTTTGGAGACTCTGTCTATTTTGTAGGGGCCAAGGATTTCATTTATGTCTAAATCTAAGTATTCAAATAATTACTTTTTATAGAAATCCAAGATGGCCACCAAAATGGGTGCTGAAATGAATATTTAACTATTGATCTAAGCTCAAAGAACAGTTAAGGACAGTGATTTTGGAGACCATGTCCAGGTTTAAGAGGCCAAGAATTTCAATTTTGTCGATAATTAAGTCATAAAATAATTCCTTTATTTTGATATCCAAGATGGCCACCAAAATGGCTGCAGAGTCACGATTTTGAGGACTGACTAAAATGTTTATCTTCATCAAACTCTTTCTGGTGTATTATACACTTGTCTTCGAGGAATTTCTTGTGCTTGATCTTCTCCATCCAATAATCTACTTCTTCCTATAGGCAGTCCACTTCTTTCTATAGTCAATGTTTATGATACTGAGCCACAACAAAACTAAGGGAAAGGAAGGCAAATTACAGTAATATTGCTAATGCGATGAGCATAAGATTTTATTTCGCAAATGTTCATGTAATTGTTTGTTCTTATTTGACCTTTTATAATATTTACACTTTGGCATCCATCTTTAATTCTGATATTAATCACAAATGTGTTGTTTCATGACATAGCTCTAGATAACCGAAATTCTTGACCTCCTTAAAGTAAACATTGCTTCCAAAATTATTGTTCTTGGTGATCTATAATAAATGGATAGATATATGAATTCATCTTGGCAGCCATTTTGGAGGCCATCTTGGATATCTATATAAATAAAATGTTTGTTGATTTTATTAAGACAAAATTAAAATCATTGACCTCGCAAACTTAAAATATCAAAAATTAATATTCTAACTCCTCTAAAAGTTTAGATAATAAATCTTATTTTCACTTCGGCAACAATGTTGAAAATCTTGGATCCAAATAAAGGAATTAGTTATAGTTTTAGACATAACTGAAATTCTTGACATCAAAAATCTTGACATGGTCTCAAATTACTGCTATAAACTGTTCTTTGAGCTTAAATCAACATTTACTTGTTATTCATTGGTACCCATTCTGGTGACCATCTTGGATTTCTATGAAAAGCAATTATTCGATGACTCAGATTGAGACACAAATGAAACCTTTGACCCCTAAAACCTAGATATTGTCTCCAAAATCACTGTTCTTAACTGTTCTTTGAGCTTAAATCAATAGTTAAATATTCATTTTGGCACCCATTTTGATGGCCATCTTGGATTTCTATATAAAGTAATTGTTTGATGACTTAGATTTAGACATAAGTCAAATCCTTGACCCTTTAAACCTAGACATTGTCTCCAAAATCACTGTTCTCAACTGTTCTCTGAGCTTAAATCAATCAGTTAAATATTCATTTTGGCACCCGTTTTGGTGGCCATCTTGGATTTCTAAATGAAGTAATTGTTTGGTGACTCAAATTTAGACATAAATGAAATCCTTGAGCCCTAAAATGCAGACATGTGCTCCAAAATCACTGTTCTTACCTGTTCTTTGAGCTTAAATCAATAGTTGAATATTCATTTTGGCACCCATTTTGGTGGCCATTTTGGAATTTTTATTTAAAGTAATTGTTTGATGACTTAGATTTAGACATAAGTCAAATCCTTGACCCTTAAAACCTAGATATGGTCTCCAAAATCACTGTTCTTAACTGTTCTTTGAGCTTAAATCAATAGTTACATATTCGATTTGGCATCCATTTTGGTGGCCATCTTGGATTTCTATGAAAAGTAATTATTTGATGACTCAGATTTAGACATAAATCAAATCCTTGACCTCATAAATGTAGATATGGGCTCCAAAATCACTGTTCTTAAGTGATTCTTGAGCATTAACAGTAGTTACATATCCGTTTTTGCACCTATTTTGGCGGCCATCTTGGATTTCTATAAGAAACAATTGTTTGATGACTTAGATTTAGACATAAATGAAATCTTTGACCCCCAAACCTAGACAAAGGTCCTAAAATCACAGTTTTTGCATCTCAGTGTGCTTAGATATACCCACTCTTATATTGTGACATGTGCACCGGCGGCCATTTTGAAAAATGGGCGATAACACCCATTTAGCTACAACTGTTACAATGCTATCACATATTTTCTTACTCTAGAGGTCTTAACCTTCCCAAAAATCACTATGCCGATTATTCCCCTAATTTGATACCGACCAACCCCCCAGGCTGATCGCCTATATGCAGTTCTTCCCTTGGGTGCACCTAGACATGTATCAAACATTATATAAAGTCATAAAGGACATCCTGGATATTAGATTTCCCTTGTAGTGAGAAAATCAGGAACATCTGAGAAATGAGGAAAAATGGCCCAACTAGATCCCGAAAGTAACTTGCAATTAAATTTTGGATAAACATTTAAACATAGCATTTTAGAAATAGACACGTCGATGGACAAATAAAGAGATTTTTGCAAAATTCTGGAATTATTGAGAAGTTTACTCATAATATTTTAATTGAAGTATATGAACTTAATTTCTAATACTGGATGTTTGAAAATCATGATATTGTGACATATAAGTGGATCTACTCGGAGTAATAAACTTATTCCAAAATTAATAATTATATGTATATTATGAACTTCAATTGTTTCAAACATGTTTCTAAAAATTAATAATCATATTAGAACGCCTTAGCATTTCCAGTGATAAAATTTTCGAATTAAATCTTTTGTTCTAAACACAAACTTAAAATCATTGTTCAAATATCAAACAGTATAAAAACTTGAAAATTTTCAAAGTTTATTCACAAGTTGGGACGATCCAACAACGACAGACGCAACATATCTACACCAAGGAGACAAGCAAGAGGTTGCCATGAGAACCACAACAGCATTAGGCGTGCTGGCCTTCATATTCAGCATCAAAGTGAACTCAGCCGTAGACCTGATCAAAAATGGTAATGGATGGCAACAAGGAGCTGAATACATCACACCATTCAGAGTTCAAATCACTGCTAATGAAGACAAACCTGCCTCATACTGGAAGATGATTGTGAAATTTAACAAGCCTGTGACAGCAATCACTGTAAGTTATCTAAATATATCATATTTATTTTGCACATGTGCTCAATGGGGGGTTTATACATGTATATTCATTTGGTTATCACTATACAGTAGAACCTGTGCAAGTGGAACACCCTGGCTTGGGACCACAAAAAGTGTTCCACTTTGAGAGGGGCCACTTAACAGGACTTTTAAACTGATCCATTTATGAGGTATTCTACTTACATAGGTGTTCGTTCTACTCAGCAGTTTCCACTGTATATTATATATTACATATCATATGTACTCAATATGATTTTATACTGATGCTCGAAATCAGAGTATGCGATAGAAAATATATAGAATTCCAAGCAACAAACAATCAAGGCCCCACAATACAAAACAACAAAAATCTATTGTTAGGGGTCTTCTTGGAGTTTTTGGAGGTGCAAAAATGATTCCATCTAAGCTCCTTTACCACCTTAATTTAACATGAAGTGATTGTGAAGAATTGTGAAACATATAAAATTGTACCTTGCCTAAGATAGAACACCTTTCTCTTTCAGAAATGGACAACAAACACTGCAAAGGCTAATACTGATGGTACCAGATGGAAACTGTTTGACCAATATAATACAGCCTACCACAATGATCAGATCATAAGCTTCGATATTCATGTCACATCTGCAGAAAGTGGTGTGACTGGAACTGTCTGGTGGAAAAATGGTCCAGCTGAATCTGATTCACAAACCACAACTCAATCAACGACCCAAGGAACAACCCAATCAACAACCCAGGGAACAACCCAATCAACAACCCAGGGAACAACCCAAGGAACAACCCAATCAACGACTCAAGGAACAACCCAATCAACAACCCAAGGAACAACCCAATCAACAACCCAAGGAAGCTCAGTCACATGTAAGTTAGTCACAAGTTGTGTCCTGGTAAACCAGACTACAATAAATGCAGATTCGATATACATGTATATATTGTACACATCGCATATGTACTGAAAAAAACCTATTATTCAATGTACCCTGAAAAGGGTGAAACTTGGGATAAAAATGTATTAACTACAACAGCAGTGTAAATCACCTGAGCAGTGCATTTAATTAGTTTTAGATTTCTTTTTACCAAGAAAGATTTCTGGAAATTTCAAATCAATCCAAGTTTAAGAATGTTTAGCAAGAAACGTGAAGCCACCCACTTTATGGTGGTGACATAATAATGCTTTACATATATATATATAACGATTTATATTGTTAGGTAATGACTGGCAGAATGTTGTTTTGGGAAATACATGGGATGGTGGACTTGAGGCGTATGTTAGGATTAGCAACCATTACAACTTTAACAATGGCTATTCAATTCACTTGACCAGCAACAAAGATATCTATGCTTTTGAGGTAGGTTTTAAAAAGATCTAGAATCACATTATACCAAAAGGCATTTCATAGTTTTTTATAATTTTTGAATAAGTGCAAATAGGTTTTCAAATGGGTGCAAGCCCATTTCAAAAGCTCAAGTGAGCAGAGCACCAACTGATAAGATCACTGGACTATCCCATCCCTTGGATTTGGGGAGGCCAGATCAAACTTAAGTGCCGCAATATACATGTGTCTTCCATCTCTGCCAAATGGCCTTTCAACATGTGCAAAGGTTAATGCATGTTTATGGATAATTGCCTTTTCAATATAATATTCTGTATTCTTTACATTGGTTTTACACATATATTTCAAGCAATGGGATGGTGGGGCAACTTGCACAAAGGATGGTAACACAGTCAGGATGCATTACAACAGTGCAAACTATGAGCACAAATTCCTTGTCAGATTTGACGCAAGTATTGACAAGAACTCAATCAGAATCTGTGCAACTGTTAATGCAAATGAACTGGCGAATGGTGGATCTTGCGATGGTAGCTCAAGCGGTGGTGGATCAGGTGGATCAACTGGAGGGGCTTCCTGCTCAGGATCCGATGACAAACCAAGTATGTTGCTAGTACATGTAAAATCTGCAAACAAGGAACAGTCTCCAGACTGACAAAAAGTCAGGTTGTTGGCAGGTGTTCCATACAGGGAGGGTCCATGTTTTGGGCCTCACCCTAGATCAAATTGCTGTATACTTGTACAATTACCGTTTTGGGCATGTATCTTAATTTTTATTTTAGTGTGAAAAAATAGATGGCTAGTTAAAGATTTAAAATTCATTGGATGGAACATCACTGCTTATCATACTAAAAAAGTCACCAATTTGTATACATATATAAACAATAACAGACCAGTACAAAAACTTTTCCCATTTCATCTACTAAAATACATTTTCATCATTTATAGCTGCAGATGATTATTTGACTGTCATCGAAATGTCAATTAAATTCTACGAGGCCCAGAGATCTGGAAAACTTCCCGCTAATAACAGGATCGCTTGGCGTGGAGACTCAGCTCTAGAGGATAAAGATGGCAGTCATGACCTCACAGGTGGATGGTATGATGGTAGGTATAGCAACCCAATTGACAATACTAACCCAAAAATGATGCAGTTGTAACATACTCTAACAACAATATATAATAAAAAATGTACATGCAATGCAAATGTACTAAATGTAATTGCAAAAACAGCAAACATTTCTCAATGTTGAATCAATGTTGATTTAATGATTTTTGTATATGTTTTGCAAATGTTTGCTGAGTATTAGAAAAGATCTTATTTACAATATACATGTAATTTCTTATAATTACTTCATTGGGTTTTTGTTTAATTCTGTTTTGAAAAAATGTCATTAATGTGAAAAACATCTACTTTTCAGCTGGAGATCATGTGAAGTTTGGATTCCCAATGGCTTGGTCTACAACAACCCTTATTTGGTCAATGCTTGAGTTTAAAGATGGATATGGAGACCAATGGGGATGGGCCTTAAATGAGGTGAAGTGGCCCTTGGACTACTTCCTCAAGTGTCATGTGATTGAGAATGGCAAAACACAAAAGTTCTATGGCCAGGTAATGTGCATTATACAAGATACTGTCCAATGTATCTATAATTTCTGTACGTGGCATTCAGCTTCTGATCCCATGGCTTAGATTTTTTACATTTGAGGAATTTTTAAAACCAACTTTTGAAATTAAAATCAAGGACAATTTAATCGGTGGCATTCAATCTTATCGTTTTATTTGTCTTATATGTATATTAAAATGTATTCTCTCATATGAAAGAGGCAATAAATATATAGTACAATACAACACAACAAAATACAATACAATATACAGTATTCTGCCCAGGATTTTATCTCAAGTGGGTGCAAAATTTTTAATTGAACAATTTAGACCAAAGGATTGGTATCGATATGGCGATCTGAATTCAACATTTTTTTTCTCTCAAACCAATTATTGAAAAAACTCTGTAAAAAACACTATCCTTTATGTAATGGTCACTGATTGACAACAATTCCTTTCTACCAATTCTTGAGAATGAAAGAAAAGATCTTTCCGAACCTTGTTGGAACAAACTGGCATATACTACAACATAATTCTTAAACCTCTCAATATTAAAGTTATACAAAGGAAAGTTTGGTTCATTTAACAAAAAGCATTCAAAAATTAAAACAAAAAACCAAAATAGATAAGAAATATTTATATATATTATTTCATGAACAAGATACTTTTTTAAATGAACCAAACATTCCTTTGTACAATTACAATATTGAGAGACCTAAACATGTAGTGTAATCTCATTTGTTTCAATGAGGTTCGAATAGATGTTCTATTTCATTCCGAATATATGATACCGAGAACAAAAGAAGTGTCTGATGTGTTTCTAAAACAATAAAGAGATAAGTATATAAATTTTTTCAAGTTAAATTGTTACCACTCAAAGGATGATCATTAAATTGACGATGTGTAAAATTTTCAAAGAAAAACAAGTGTCCGATATAATTTGCCATATCGATACCAATTCTTTGGTCAAAATATGCCTACAGTATTTTCATGATTTTTCTCATCTTCAAGCGGGTGCAAACGAATATTTACCAATTTACCTAAGGCAGTACCCATTAAATCATTGGTATTCTAGGTTGGAAATGGTGGCCTTGACCATGGCTATATGGGACCTCCAGAGAAGATGACCATGAATAGACCAATCTACTCTATTGGACCTGGGAAATGTGGATCAGACCTGGCAGCAGAGACTGCTTCTGCATTGGCAGCTGGTTATCTCCTCTTCAAAGATACTGGTATGTAATCAAACCCGAAATGCTCAAAGGATCACTCTTAAAATGAACGAGATATTAACATGCAAAATGTCATTACCTGCCATATGCAGGGGCGGATCTGGGAACCAACAAGGGGGGGGGCCAAATTTCTGTTCAGAGAAAAAAACGTCCGCGCTTGCGCAGAAAAAAATTTAAGGCCCCTAAAACCGAAAAGTGGTCCCAAATTTTGAAATTTTGAGGCCTATTTTCCTCAAAGATACGCCAGTGATATGTTACAGATGCCGAATTCTGGCTGCCTCATGCTGTCAGAATAAAGTTAAAGACTATAACAATATGTTACTTATGGTGGTAACGTTAAAATTGGATTCAAAAGAGCAACAATTACGACAAGACTTTAGCATCTAAAAAAAATAGTTAACCCCATGACGAGGGGTTATATTCTTGCATTCTGTATGAATTCTGGAAACCAAGCCAAAATTGTTCTGTCCATATACAAAATTGTTCTGTACATTGCTAAACTCTACTTTCACCATGTTAATGCCCCAATCACATTTCATTTGTGATTACAGATGAATCGTATGCAAACACACTTCTTGAGAATGCCAAAGCCCTATATGAGTTTGCTGACACCTGCAGAGGCGTTTACTCAAGTTCCATCTCTGATGCCAGTATATATTACAAGTAAGCAAATACATTGTATCTTTTTTCAGGGACACCCCTGGATTCTGAAACTTTGCAATCTTATGTAACTTTCCATAAGGAACAAAATGATATATAACATGATAGGGTGGCAATGCTACATGTATGAGTTATGAGGGGGGGGTGCATACATATGAAACACCCTGTATATGAGAGTTCTGGATACTTGATTTATCCAAAGTATATATATTTTTCCAAGAAACAGAGAGGACACGGAAAATTATTTTAGACTCATTTAGAGATCCTTTTGGAAATGAGGAGAAAACATTGATGCATTCAGGATTAAAACTAAAATGTCATAATTTCAACATATGAAATATGAAAACAAAGAGATTTATGAACTATTTATTTCAAATTTATCAGTTCTTGGAGTGGATTTGCGGATGAGCTGAAATGGGGAGCTGCATGGTTGTATAAAGCCACTAATGACGCTAGCTATAAAAGCAAGGCATTGGGATGTACAGCCAAGGAAGAATATTCTTGGGATGAGAAATGCCCAGGTAAGATGGGGAAAATTCACTGCCATACCATGGGGCTTTTTGATTAATAATTCCCGATTGGTCAAAAAAACTCCTAGTTATTGCTGATTTGAATTTTGATTGCCAGGGAATCAAATATATACAATCTCATGATGTAGGAAAATTTTATTTGATAAACGCCAAGTGATATGTGGTTATTCAGAAAAACAAAGAAATTCTTCAGAAAAAGTAATGTGAACAGTAGTCAACAAGGAATTGTGGATGGTTTCATTCTTTTTGATTAGGTGTAACTGCACTGTTGGCAGAAGAGGATAGTACCCAGAAGGCTACACTCATGCAGTTTGCTGATGCATGGGTAGGAAAATCTAAAACACCTTGTGGATTGGTGTGGCTCAGAGCTTGGGGACCTTGCAGATACTCTGGTATGTATGTAGATAAGAGATCAGTTGTTCAAGCATGTAATGTTTCTGAGGGCATTTTTTCAAAATTTTCAGGTAAATGGCGACCTTTTTGTCAGAAATTAAGAGTAAAGGGAAAATTTGCCTTACAACCCAACAAAAGAAAGCCAAATATTGACCACCTAGGATATCTAACTGAATCATGTATGAACACATCTCCAGTGAGAAAAAATAACATCTTATTCATTTCAGCTAATGCTGCCTTCATTGCACTGTTTGCCAGTAAATATGCAGACTCTACCACTGATGCCTCAAAATACCATGACTGGGCTGAGGGCCAGATCAGTTATATGATGGGCTTTGGATCCAAAATGAGCTTTGTGGTTGGCTTTGATCACACAGGAGGCAATAACTACCCAGATAGACCTCATCACAGAGGAAGGTAATAAATACCATATTTTTGAATTGAATCATGGTCTTGTTATATTGCAGCAGTTAGGTTTATCCAAGAAAGATATCTATTTAACATAGTTTCATAATTTACAGAATGAAAGTCACATAAACAGTATTTTACTAGCATTACAGTCAAATCTACCTTAAAACTTTTATGATATTAGGGTTATATGGCCTTTTGAAATCATTACTTGAAGTGAAAATTCATAAATTAATCAAAAGTACAATTATGTTATATTATGTATTTCAGCTCTAGTACATATGACCAAAATGGATTCACGTTTGAAAACGATGCCTCAAAACCCAACCCCAACATTCTTTATGGAGCTCTCGTAGGCGGTCCTGATCAGAGTGATAACTTCCAGAATGATAGAATGGATTATATTCAGAATGAGGTTGCGTGCGACTACAATGCTGGCTTCCAGGGTGCCGTCGCTGGTAAGTAATATTCATCATAATCTTTTCAAGAGCTAGAAAAACAGCAACTCCCTGGAGTAGCAAATCCCACCTTAACAAAACATATTTTATTGAATCATTTGAATTGAATCCCTCAAGTGAATTGAATCAATCAAATTAAATTCTTACGAAAAAACTGGCAGCCATTTTGAATTGAATGGCCATGCGCCTCCCAAAAATATATTCTGTTAACTATACATGGAATTCTGCCTGATTGGATAGGTAGTGTAGCAGAGAACAAAATGGAAAATGTAAAGGGTTTAATGTGAAAGTTTTGAAACAATCCCTAAGTATTTTAAAACAGTACTTTTTGCTATTTTCTTTGAAGTGTTAAATACCTTGATGGGTCAAGATGTCATATAGCAGTATTAGTATTATACAAGGAAAAGGGGATCAAATATATGATTATATATAAATATAATAGTAATTTGTGTTGACCTAAATTCTCAATTTCAAATATAAAAAATATAAAGAATATGCATGATGGTATTTTCATGTTAACTTAATATTCATTAATATTCTGTTTACAGGTCTAAGAAAGACAAAGCTTGGTCTATAATGGTTAAAATACAAGATGCATGTTGGCAGGAACTTAGTGACGAAGATGAAACAAGTTCAACACCATACTATGTACTCATTTAGATTATGAAATAAAGTATTCATTAGAAAGAACTAGAAAACATTTTTGTGAATTATCTTTTGAGGATCATCAACATATATGGCTCATCTAATGCAATACATCGATAATGAAATGAAGATGAACCCAGAATATCCTATATATGCATTCTGATATTCATAACATCTTTCTGTTTCACCTGAAACTCAGGGCTGAGAAGAAATGAGATGTCATGGTATATCATGATGCAATAGTATAGTTTCCATATAGCCTTTGAAATCTCGCTAAATCTCGTTTTTCGTGAGATTTTAAGAGACTTGCATATTAGACCTCTAATGACTTATATTACCTTCTTTTAAATGGCATATTTGAATTCAGTGAAATGTTTTCTCCTATAATAGCTTTGATTTACACAGTTATGTAATTTGAATAATTTTCTATAACAATTTAAAAAAACTTGGGCCAAATGTCCATAGATGCAATGCTAAAATTCTTTAAATCTGTGGATTATTTGTATGTCAATCAACATTTGCATGTTTAATCACAACATGTAAGTAAACAGGGTCATCATGTGGTATATCATTCAGGTTTTATACAGATTCAACAAACGCACTTTGATAAATCATGAAATTAAGACACTTTTCCAAGATTTTAGCATGTAAATGAATGGAGCTCTGGCCCGAGTTAAAAGCTGAATAAAAGATGGCAGCACGAGATTTCATTGATTTTTCTGCTATTTAGAAACTATCCTTTTATGAGTAAATCTACAAGCAAAAATAACAATGTCTATATTAATGAGAGTGTGAATGCAGATATTTATTTCTCAGAGTAGATAAAAATAATATCCACTTCTCAGCGTAGATAAAAAATGATATCCACTCATAAACCTCAACATTTTCTTTTTATTACACAGTTCATGGTCAGATTTTGATTAAATTGAATTCTGTAATATGTCATATTATTAGTATAATCATATTCTAATATGAAGATAATAAGGATTAAAAAAAGAACTAGATGAAGTGGATTAAGAGAAGTTTTGAACTTCTGTAGAGACACAAAACTCTATTGTGTAACAGACATGTTTATTTTCTTCACACGGACTTCAATTAAACCCATTAGCAAAATAAACAAACTAACCTATTTTGAAAACAGGTTACATGTCAAGAAAAATATCTAAAAACACCCTTTGTGAAGTATTATTGCTCTAACTGACTCAATAACAAAGATCTACGTCTACAAGTTTTGAGGAGCTTAGGAGAGAACATTGTATTAGTTAATGAAAGATGTAACATTTCAAGACCTAAGTGTGCACAATATCTACAAAGCTACTTTAACATAATAATGAATGTCGTACATGTATATATATTATATAGTTCACTGTTCTCAACAGAATTTTTTCTCAAGTGGGTGCACAATTCTCATTTTCACAACTGGACAGAAATCAGTCAAAATATGCCTATTTTTCATTATCTTTCTCATTTTCAAGTGGGTGCAAATGGATTTTCAGGTGGGTGCAAGCCTGTTTTTAAAATCTCAGGTAGATGCTGCGCCCACTTGCTCTAATGCTGGGGAGATCACTGTAGTTAGATATTAAAAATATAGCAAATCAATTTCTATTTGCATCTACATAAATAATTTACAGGATCTGACATTATGACAAGTAGTAAACCTATTGTTTTGTGACTATTGTGTAGTTAGTATAATATAAAACAGCAGAACATGTGCATCTTGTTTTGTTCACAATTTTGGTGCGTCATCAATCATGAATCATGGGATATCATAGCCTTCTATCTGAATATGAGAATGTTGTAATAAATGAGATATGATGAGTACCAGATCCTCAAATCTAGATCCAGTTGTGTGAGGACTCATTCCCTCTGCCCTTAGCTTTTTTCATCCCTCAAATCATGAACCATATAGTCTAATATTAATGGCTATAAGGCTGAAATCTTCGAGACTATCTGAATGACTGAAGGTTGAGTTGTGCTGAATCAAGTACATATGTGACATGCTCATAGCCAGGAGGCTTCTCTTAGTTTACAAATTAATTTTTTGCAAATATATTTCGGTAAAATTTTCATAATTCTGATAAAAATTTCTATATTTTGGTAAAAATTAAAATTGACATTAAAGATCTCGAAACATGTCAAGCAGATCCCTGCTGACCCTGCAAAACACCTCTCCTCTTTAACACCCTGGGCAGGAAAAGGCGAGAAAGAGAGGGTGAAAGGAGACTTAATCTGTGACTCAAGCAATGATTTTAAAACTTACCTCTTTTTTAAATGGTGCATGCAGATCATTTTCTGCGAATATATGGAACTGTAGTTTAGATTTTGTGAGCAGAGTTGAACTTTTGAGCATGACTATGGTTTCCTCCAATCTTTCCCCACAAGCAACAACAGCAATATGGATCCTGGATTCTGCTTCATCACTGAAGCAAAACAAAATAGCATTAACGTAAGGGTATATAAAGTGCCAGAATTTATATTTATCAAATGGAGCAATATCTCTTCCGATTATTAGGAATTTATGTAGCAGACTAACAAACGCATCAAAATTTTTTTTAAATTCTGGAAGATATTTTATTTGGTAATATCATGCCAAATATAGCTCAACTGTAATGTAGACAAAATTCTGATACATAAACACTACACAAGAATGAAACAAGGCGCAAAAACATGACAAAATATCACCATCTACAAATGGCAATGAAAGCATAACAAGTTCAACAATATATTACAGATGCCAACTGCGAACACAAAAGTAAAAAATACCACGAAAATGGTGGCTTTAACAATTCTTGATGGTGACATAAAAACATAAACAGATTTATTTTCTGAAAACATTCTCTCCTCGGACAATCATCCTATAATTTATCTTGCCACAGTCCGTAATTTCTTTTTAATAAATAGATTCCTCCGGAACAAGTGATATATCCTTTTTGTTTAAAAAATCGAACATCTAACTTAGGCCATTCATGGCACATTAAAAAACTGAAATTATTATGAAATAACATATCTACTTTAAGTAACAGGTTTACTTTCTTTGGTATCTGAATCTAAATCTAGACTTAATCCTCATAGGAAAACAAAGGGTAAAAGCAGCCATGCTGCATGAGCTCTTAGTGTTAGCAAGCTGAACCACAAGTGATTAACCAGCAGCTGACCGCTCTCTCATATAGTCTCTTTGTTATGTAATACAGTGAGGTAGAATTACAAATACTGAAGCAAAACAGCAAAACAAAAACTAAGAGAGAGAGTCGATAACTTAAAGTTTATTTTTGAAATTGCATTTCTGCTATATTCTGACCAATTTTTGGGTAAAAATAGGTTAAAAACGGAATTCCTTCATATTTCAAAAACCAGATAAAAAATAAATATTCAGAGACCTATAATCATATGGAAAGGAAATCTGGCTTATATTAAATGTTACATTTTATCTTCAAATGGATTGAATTTCTATCTTTGTTTTTAGATATCTAAGCATGGGTCAAGTACATTTACTCATTTAAATGTTTATTTTCAGGCCAGTTTAATTGCCTCATTTCAACCCTTGGACTAGGCAAGGCAATTTAGATCAAGTATGTAACTAAAACTTTTCTTTGAATGTATGATTAAAGCATACCCCAATATTTAGGGACATAAAAGGTTTCATAAATACAAGCCCCTTGTAGCAAAAAATAAATTCTTTAGTTTTCATATGAATTAAGTTTCAGTTTATGTTTTAAAAATAATCATTAATTTGCCTCATTCATTTAAATTGCCTCTACTGCTTTTAGATCCCGGCTTTGCAACTACAATATATACCCAAATTGTGTATATGAAACACGACAGTCCATGATACAAATATGTGCTAAATAAGCTTCAGTTTGTGTTTTAAAAAGTAAAACATGTACAAGTATAAAGCTCCATTCAGTTTAAATTTGCCTCCCCTCTCTTTTTAAATCCTGGCTGATGTCTTGTATACTTAATAGATGCAAAACAGGAAATTCCAGGATGTAAATATGATACAAGCTCAGTATTGCCTGTTTATGTTTAAAAACCTCAAAACCTCAAAATGAAAATCTGTTATGGAATAATGAAGGACAACTGATTCAATATGCCAAATCAATCATTCCATCTAAAAGGAAATTCAAGATGAGCAATGCTAAAAATAGTAAATTACAGTAATTTGAAATAGATCCATTAAAATGTTCATCCCATTCTCATTTAAAACATCCAGGTGAGGTAATGATAAAGATATAAGCCCCAGAAGGATGATCTTGCACGCCTGTGTCTTCATAAACATGTACTCTTTATACAGACTCATGCAAAAGAACAACAACTGGCTCAAATTGAGGCAGCCCTTTGTTAAAAAAACATGGAGTAATTTCTGTTTTTTGTATCTGTGTGTTGAACTGTTTCAACAGATTTATTTTAACAGATACTGAAGAAAAAACATAATTACTGCAGTTGTTATGAGATTCCATCATTTTGTTATACATTTCCTCTACAACTTCAATCTGTTATTCTCTACCTTTGTAACATGACTGGGGCCCCCAAATGGGGTCTTGCTATTCTATTTTTGGATTTTCATTTTGTATCATTAAGTCTATCACATATTTCTAACAAAGGATAATATTCAAATATTTAAGGTGATGAACAAGTTCAGTGATCTCCCCATGTCACTTTTACCTGGGGCTCCCCCTACTTGAAACCAAAGGCCCCCCAGTTGGCACCCAGTTGGAATCTGCACTTCAACTTCTGATTTGAAAAATAAGTGAAGTAAGCACCTACACTGAGATATTGTGAGCGTAGCGAGTGCTGATTTTTTCAGACTTGAAATCTTGCACCCAGTTGAAATTTTTTTTTGGGGAGAACACTGAAGTTGTAATAAATTTATTCATTTATGTGAAAAATCTTTTATTTTTATCACTTGACACTCACATGAGGTTTTAAGAAAAAGCCTACTCCACAAAGCCTTACTTCCAGCCTCTCTCCCCCTCTCTAACCCCCTCTAAACACTTAACCATCATAATATATAAAGGATTGGGGATTCAGAATGGAAAGAAACGATATGTAATCCTTCACATTGACTTTTACTACTTGAAACAATCTCTTCCACTTTGTAGCTTCCCCTTTGAGTACCCCACAATATACAAAATTTCCAGCCACTTTGATTCTTGCTACAGGATGTATGCTCTATAAACTACCTAATACAAACAAAGGGATCTGGAATAATTCAGTAGTCCATATTGTTCGTTCATGCTAAGAACTTCACAGCATGGAAACAAGACTCCACAATAAAGTTCAATATAAGACTACCACAATCAGAGTTTTTTTTAATTCCATTGCCAAGTGCATATAGTAAAAGCCATTGGCAAAAAGGCAAGTGCCAGTTTCATCAATGTCAGTTTTGAATGGCACACAAAAATATATTCTCTTTATTTTAAAAAGTTTAGTTTCTTTATAACCTGCCTTTCATCAGTCATGTTCTTCAAGATTTTTTTTATGTTAAGTTAATAGAATAATTAGTTTTGGCACATGTCTTGCCTCTTTTCATTTAGAACCTATTATAGCACAGATTGTAGAACTTTTCAACAGAAACATACTTTTTGGCAAGTCTATAGGGTGGCCAGATAAAATCGAATCACCTTTATACGAGGGTCTCATAATATCTCTCTAATTTCTTTATTGTTCAATATATTCTGATGAAACTTTCACATAATGTGGACCATAGAATGTCTTGATTCAGCAAAAAATATTTAAGTTTAACAGTAATATCTTAAAGAAATGGTTGCCATAGTAACGGGAAACCAGAATGAGAAAATTTCATAAGAATATATAGCATACAATATATTATGATTCTTCAAGTTATATATGATATACCACTGGAAAATTCTATTTTCGGTGAATAAATGCATATCTTTCACAAGTGATATTCAATGAAGTCCGAAGGTAACTATGACACTTTCACAAGATGATATTCTACTAGCCCTTCGGCTTCACTGAATATCACTTGTGAAAGATACACAGGTATTCACCGAAAATAGAATTAAATACCGAAAACAGACACGTGTTGACTTTATATCCCCCATTTTATGCTGAACATACCAACTGCCAAACACAAACCACTAAACACTGAACACCACCACAAAAAGTTGGAGAATATTACAATATGTCACCACTTTCGGTAGCAACATGAAAATCTTATCTGAGTTCTAAAAATCTGAGGCATTTTGTAGCTTCTGAATCCTTTCAATTTTATAATCTCAATGATAAAACAAAATCTTTTTTTAAATTATTGTATGTATGTGGTTAAAAGCCCTTACCCAATTTCATTCCTTTTGTTATCATTTGGGAAACCACAAGAAAAGCCAAAATGAGATTGCTCTAAACAAATGCACAGTAAAACCTATCTAATCTGAATGCCACTGGGACTTGTCAAAAGTGTTCAGATTGGCATGTGTTCCACATAGGTGTTTTCATATGGAAGTCTTAAAAAATGGGATCCAAAAAGCAAATCACATTGAAAGTTGTTCAGATAAGATAAGAGAGACATTTGGATAAGAGAGGCATTTGGATAAGAGAGGCATTTGGATGAGAGAGGCATTTGGATGAGAGAGGCATTTGGATAAGAGAGGCATTTGGATACACATGTTTTACTGTTCTATTCTGCCTTAGTAATGTGTAGTAATGTGCGCTGTACCGTGTTAGGGTGTCTGAATTGCACATTTACATTTAAAAATTCTTTCCAATGTCTTACATGACCATATTACTGAGTAATGTGAATACGTCTATCTTCTTAAAGGTAATCGATTCCACAGAAATGATATCAATATTTCACATTTGATTGTTTCTTGGAGGATTTTGAAAGAATATGACAAATGGAACTTATAATAACCTTTCCATTTTTTGGTTCTATAGTCATAACAAATCTAAAAATACCCAAAAGGTAAAAAATGACGAAGATACATTTTAACAATGACTTTCAATATATGAGACACAAAGTAATACTTTAGAAAGAAAATAAAAACAATAACATTGCTTGGTTATCAAAGAACATTAGTAGACAAGAACTCCGATTTCACTTTAAAAAATGAAATAGTGTTTCCCAGCACTTCATTGAAGTTTTCTGTTTTCTGTAACTAAAAACGACCCTGGAGTTCACTGGCAATGCTTATTCCACAATTTCCTCTCTAAAATGTTAATAGAATTTCAGATCATTTTCAGGTTATAACCAGTTAATCAATAACTTAATTCCTTGATAACAGTAAAGCATGTCCTTTTACTTCATAGAAATGAATGAAAATAGAACATTAACCGATTATAGGGATTTTTTATTTTTATTTCCAGGCTGTGTGATAAATCACCAGCAGTATGGTCCCAGGTGAACTTCAAAGAACAGTAGTACTAGATAAGCGTAATGATCCCTCAAGTTTACCATGCATGA